CCAAGCGGAAGGCCATCGATCGAAGGTCGGCGAGGAGAGTGTTGATGGCATCCCGGTCCTGGGGGTGGCTAAGCGGCCGCCAAAGCTGCAAGTAACCACACATTTTAAAGATTGCGTCAATTGCACGTCGAAGAGGCACCTTCTGGATGACAAGCTTATTGCGAACGGTCCAAAGCATCCAGGCAAGAACCCCCACGCATAGCCATCTAATATGGCGGTAGCGGGGAGGGGAGGCGTGGATTTCCGCAAGCAAGTCAGGGAAGTTGGTGTTGCACCACTGGCCACCGACTGTCTCGCAGAAACAGGACCATAGAAACTGGGCCGTGAAGCAAGAGAAGTGTTAGGAAAGCAACTTATATTCCCATGAGGCCATAGGCCGATATATATACATGTACAGGTGTGGAACATATGCAGGAAACCCCTTATACAACGGGATAAATACAAAGGGGTACATGACTTATATTATAACTCTAACACCCCCCCTCAAACTCATGGTGGATGAACAGTACTGAGTTTGGAGAGATAAAAGCCATGTTGTGCTCTAGTCTGGGCCTTCGTCAGGAAATCCGCCAACTGTAACTCTGAAGGCACATACTGAAGAGCAATAACCTGATCCTGCACACCAGCGCGCACATAGAAAGCATCAACACCAATATGCTTGGTGAGCTCATGCTTCACAGGATCGCGCGCAATGCTGATAGCACCTGTACTGTCAGATAAGAGCAGAGTCGGTGTAGTGACAGAAACACCAAAATCCTGAAGTAACCACCGTAACCAAGTCACCTCTGCCGTCAAAAGAGCCATTGCTCGCAACTCAGCCTCGGCACTCGAACGGGAAACTGCAAGCTGTTTCTTCGTCTTCCAGGCAATGAGAGAACCACCAAGAAAAACACAGTAAGCAGAAAGTGAACGGCGATCTAAAGGATCACTAGCCCACGTAGCATCCGAATAGGCCTGAAGCTGTAAAGAACTGGAGCGAGGAAAGAATAGACGGTGAGAGATCGTGCCTCGAAGATAGCGGAGAACACGAAGGAGATGACTATAGTGAACCGAGGTGGGAGCAGAGACAAACTGACTCAGAATATAAACCGGATAAGAGATGTCCGGACGAGTGACAGCTAGATAGACAAGACTGCCAACAAGATGACGATAACGCGCCGGGTCAGGGAGAGGATCACCATCAGTAGCACGGAGGTGAACATTGAGCTCCATAGGAGTCTCAACAACGCGCTCGTCAGTAAGAGCAGCACGAGCAAGAAGATCCTGGATATACTTTTCCTGGGATATAAAAAAGCCATCAGAGGTAGAAGAGACTTCAATCCCAAGAAAGTAGCGAAGAGGTCCAAGATCAGACATAAGAAACTGCTCACTAAGACGGGCCTTTACAAAGGCAATACACTCGGGGTCATCCCCCGTGATGATCATGTCATCAACATAGAGAAGAAGAAGAGTCCGACCACGAGGAGAAAGGTGAATAAACAATGCTGGATCATGAGCACTTGCTGAAAAACCAGCAACAGTGATCACAGAGGCAAAGCGCTCAAACCAGGCGCGGGGAGCTTGCTTAAGGCCATAGAGAGAGCGACGAAGACGACATACCATGCCATCAGGAACAGAATACCCAGGTGGTGGCTGCATGTACACCTCCTCACGCAGCTCACCATTAAGAAAGGCATTCTTAACATCAAGCTGAGATATAGACCAGTGGCGTGCAGAGGCAACGGCAAGAAGTGTACGAACAGTGGTCATATGGGCCACAGGAGCAAAAGTCTCGTCATAATCACGACCGTGCTCCTGCTGAAAACCACGAGCCACAAGACGAGCTTTGTGACGCTCAAGAGAACCATCGGAGCGAGTCTTAACCTTGTAGACCCACTTACAAGTGATCGGACGGACTCCGGGAGGAAGAGAAACAAGATCCCAGGTACCAGTGCATTCAAGAGCAGCAATCTCCTCCGCCATCGCAAACTGCCATTCAGGATGAACAACAGCCTGACGGTAAGAAGTCGGCTCAAGAACAGCAGCACTAGCGGTGGGAAATCCAAAGCGATCAGCAGGCGGACGAGGACGAGAACGCAAGCCATAAGTAGGCTGAGAGGAAGATGACGACTCATCCACAGAGGCATCGACTGGTCGTGGACGACGAGTGTAATGCTGAGGAAAAGATGGAATAATAGAAGGAGGAATCGTCAAGGTAGAATCGGGGGTGGCGACGAAGAAGTCACCGGAGATGAAGGTGTAGAATCCGATGACATGCTGGGAGAGGAGATCGGGGAGGAAGTCACCGGAGATGAAGGTGGAGAACCCGGTGACATGCTAGGCGAGGAGACCGGGGAGGATGGTGGCTGCAAATCAACTAGAGGTGGAGAAGGAGAGGAAGTGGAACGGAGAGGTACAGGCTCGACGGGGGTGATAGGTGAGTCAGGAAAAGTGAGGAAAGAGATATCCTGCACTGAAAAAGTCGAGGAAGATGGGCGTGGGTAGAAGGGACGAGACTCATCAAAAGTCACGTCTCGAGAGATACGCATCCGACGACCGATAGGATCCCAACAACGATAGCCCTTATGCTCATCACTGTAGCCTAAGAAGACACACTCAACAGACTGAGCGGTCAGTTTGGTGCGTTCGCGAGGGGCAAGAAGAACATAGCAAACACAACCAAACGAGCGAAGCATCGAATAATCGGGAGAACGATCAAAAAGTCGCTCGAAAGGAACACCACCCTGTAGAGCAGCGGAAGGCTGTATATTGATAAGATAGGTGGATGTGGAGATGGCCTCAGCCCAAAAATGAGGCGGGAGAGAGGCAGCAATCATCAATGCACGAGCCGTCTCAAGAAGATGTCGATGCTTTCGCTCAGCCACACCATTCTGAGCATGAGCACCAGGACAAGAGAATTGAGAGAGAGAGTCCCTTGCTCAGCAAGAACACCACGCAACATCTTAGAGATATACTCGCCAGCGGAGTCAGCACGAAAAACACGAATGGGTGAAGAGAACTGAGTATGAACCATGGCAGCAAAACGCTTATAAATAGACAACACCTCAGAACGAGAAGTCATGAAATAAAGCCATGTGTAACGAGAGAAATCATCTATGAAAATAATATAGTATTTATGACCACCTTTCGAAGCGAAAGGGGCCGGACCCCATACATCAGAATGGACTAAATCGAAAGGACGCTTGGACACTGACTCACTATGTGAATATGGTAACTGAATCTGCTTGCCAAGACGACAACCCTGACACTCTAAAGAGACATCTCCTGAGACAGACCCCAGAAGACCTCGACGAACTAAAGAAGACAACCGAGAACCACACAGATGACCAAGTCGATGATGCCACTGCTAGAAGGAACCAGTAACGGAGGCGACAGAAGCGGAAGAACTGGCGATGGTGGTGGCAGCGGAAGGAACATGAAGCCAGTCCAACTCCCAAAGACCCTGAGAATCACGGCGGCGAGGGCCAGCCCCAACCAGAGTGTGCGTGCGACGGTCCTGGACAGAACAAGAGTCAACGTCAAGGATGACGCGACAACCAGAATCAGTAAGTTGACCAGCAGAAAACAGATTCATGGTAAGTCGAGGAACATGAGCAACATCAGGAACAGAATAAGGAGTGGTAAGATTGCCTCTACTAGCAACAGAAAGTGGAGTACCATCAGCAGTGAAGACATGAACAGGAGAATCCAGTGATCGAAGAGAGGACAAAGTGGAAGAATGAGAAGACATATGAAAAGAAGCTCCAGAGTCCAGAACCCATGGGGATGTACCTGACTGTGTAGAGGGTGATTGCTCAGTGCCGGAAGCATCAGTCACAGAACCAGCAGTACCCGTCGAGGAAGAACCTGAAGCCGCGAGCAGACGCTTAAGTCTCAGAATATCCTGCTCAGTCAAAGCAATGGCTGAAGTTGTCGAGGTAGATGACGAAGTCCCTGAATATGATGATCGCGCCTTGCGCAGGTGTTTCTTCTTCGTGTAGCACTGAGACTCAAGATGACCATCATTGTTGCAATAGTCGCAATGTGGACGGGGGCGACCTGAGCCTCCAGAAGGAGTGGGCAAGAGCGGCGGAGCACTCGAGCGAGAAGGGGTCGGTGCAGCAGGTGGCGTAGGAGCACGAGTAACGAGCATAGAGGGAACCTCCAGCAAACCAGCACCACGTAAGCGAGTCTCCTCAGCACGAATCTCAAAAAGCGCCTCCATGAGAGAAATACGGCCACGAGCAAACAACTGAGCACGCCGGGGCTCAAACTCCTTACGGAGCCGAGACAGGAACTCATAGACGCGATGAAACTCCAAATTGGCCTGGACAGCCTGGCAACAGGGGCAGGTACGACAACCAGCACTGCGGAGAGAATCAAGCTGGCGCCAGATAGCAGAACTCTGTGCATAGAAGTCATCAACAGTAGAGTCACCCTGCTGAAGAGCATGCTTCTGACGGACCATAGAAAGGTATAAGGCATCACCAGAGGGCTGATAGCGCTGACGAAGACGGGTCCACATCTCAAAGACAGTAGGAAGACCCAGAAACTCAGAAGCAAACTGAGGCAGAACACTAGCAGTGAGAACAGCTGCAGCACGAGCATCATCATCAAGCCACTGGGTGTAAATAGACAGAGCACCATGATACGTCTGAAGAGCCTCCTCATAAGCCAAAACCCTCTCATCATAAGCACGATCAGCAGCCTCATCAGCAAGCTTAGCCGCATCCTTGGCGGCCTGATTAGCATCCGGAGGAAGAACCGATGGAGTCGGCGGAATAGGAGCCACCGGAGGAACCGGACGTGGCGGACAGCAGACCTCGCCAGAAAGAACACCCCAGAGACGGATGCCACGCATGTGAATGCGCATGAAGTCAGTGAACTCGGTGTAGTTAGTACCATCGAAGATCACCGGACAGCGAGGGACAACAACATAACCCGATGCAGCAGACATTTTTTTTTTGAGATCCCAAATCAGCAGAATCTGGAACAGCAGACCACCAGCAGCGGAATCAGGGCGCGAGCAGGGAGTAGCGTCTACGGGCGACTGGATCGCGGGGTGCGCGCGAGCAACTGGGTCGGGGCGGGCGCTGACGACCGGATCGGGCGGGCGCTGGTGACCAGATCGGGGCGGGCACGGTCAACTGGATCGGGGCGGGCGACTGGGATCGAGCGGCGGCTGGGCTCGCGTAAGCCGAGATCGAGCAGCCTCGCGTAGGAACAAGAGCAGCCGAGATCGAGCGGTCTCGCGCAAGCCGAGATTGATCGAGCGAGACTGCCTTCAGCAGGGAACAGAGCAGCTACGGGTAGGAGGAACAGCGCCGGCGGCTGTGCAGAATATTGGATCGGGAAGAGCACGAGTTGCGCGTGCGAAAAAGAACCTATGCTCTAATACCATGTTAGGAAAGCAACTTATATTCCCATGAGGCCATAGGCCGATATATATACATGTACAGGTGTGGAACATATGCAGGAAACCCCTTATACAATGGGATAAATACAAAGGGGTACATGACTTATATTATAACTCTAACAAGAAGAATATGTGGTTAGCATCCTCCACCGTACCGCACAGGGGGCAGATCCCATCGCCAGGTCCATTGCGCTTAAGTACCTCCACCCCAGACGGGAGGCGTCCATGGATCCACTGCCATAAGAAGATCCTGATTTTCAGTGGCAAGTGGATATCTCAAATCAGGCTAAAGGGCTCGGGGGCCGGCGAGGGGGCGATGGCCGCGTAGAGGGATTTAGTGGAAAAGCAGCCTGAGGGCTCCAGTCGCCAAGATATGGAGTCAGGGGTGTCGTCAACGTTCATCGGGAGGAGGGCGATGTCCTGGAGGAGGGCATCCCAAGCGGCCATTTCCGGCGAGCCAAAGGGGCGACGGAAGGCGAGGCGCCCTAAGTCAATAAGGGCCGTCTCGACAGAAACCTGAGGGTCCACCGTAATGGCAAAAAGCTCCGGGAATCGCACGGCCAGGGGGATCGCCGGTCCACCGATCAAACCAGAACAGGGTCGCGGACCCCGTGCCAACCGAGATGGACGTGCCGATGCGGAGCACAGGCAACAACTGGATGACGGCCTGCCAAAACTGGGAGCCACCAGATCGCTGACAGAATGCGAGTGGCTGGCCCCGAAGGTACTTGTTCTGGATGATGGTGAACCAAAGGCCACCATCGCCATTGGCGATGCGCCAGAGCCAACGGGTCAGGAGGGCTATTTATGTGGTAGGCATATCCAGAGGAGGGCTATTTATGTGGTAGGCATACAATTGGTACTCGTTTGTGATTCCTCTGGATAAGCATTATTGTGGGACTATCTAGATCAGATCTTGCAACTCCAAAAGGTGAAGGTAAGAGTAATAGCCCCACCAGGCATATCATTGTACTTACTACTTGGAAAGGTGAAGGTCCGGATTTAATTATCTTTTACACTAGGGCCCTTGAAATGCTGTGAGAGTTCACTCGAGCTAGTAAATGTTCTGAAGAATGAGATCCGTGATGGACTACTGACGTTCAGAAGCAAATGGGTTTTAGAGGTACAACTCTAGCTTTGTTCCATGTATGCATGCAGTACTTCTAGTAAAGCTATGTTCATGCATTTAGTTTGTAGCGCTTACTGTTTGTTTAATAGTGTACTGCCTCAAGCCAATTTTCTTATATGAAGGACTGCGAATGACACAAACTCACAAAGACTAAGTACTTCCCAATGTCCATTTATTTGTTAATTTCGTCCTTAAATCGATTTATGTAGGCAGCAATGCAAAGGCTGCACACTGTAGATATTGTTCTTACCTTCAAACACTACAATATTAAGTGCAATAACTATGAAAAGCTGTGAACAACAAGTGGTTCTAGCGATCTATTGATCTCCACCTAACAAATGTATTGTCCTTCTCATTAATCATGTATTTTCACCAACACTAACACGCTCCCATCCTCTAAGTTTGTATCGAGCCTATTGCCTGGCTTGAAACGTTGTTTTCAGTATGTGTTGTACTTATCAGTGTGCACAATAAATAAAGGTTCTTTCACTGAAATTACTTCTTGGGGCTTGGTCTGTTTCTTTACGTCCTAATGCGAACCACATATATTGGCATACTCTGATCAATTTGTGGTTCTTTGGCAACTGTTTAATTATTATTTTCTGATGCAGCTGGGCTGCAGATATGGGCTTCCTGGGATATTTTCTTGCCTGAAGGTACTGCAGCTATCCATGACTTATCTATATTACTTAAAAAAAGTAACTTCAGATTTCACTTGCCTTCAGTACCCAAGTCATTTACCATAGTTTATCTATCTAGTATACTGCTGTTCATTGTTGTTCCATTCGTGCACAAAAAAGCGTACTTACCTGTACTGTCTTTGGCTAATGCACCAACAATGAATATCCTTGTTTCTTTTCTGAAAAAAAATGCAACGTTTAGGCTTCTAATGCCCTCTTTCCGAACATTTTAGGGAGCTTCAACAGTACATTTTCAGGATCCCAGTGCTGGAATAATAAGATGCAGAACAATCCCCAATGTACTCGCAAATCTCGAGCAAACTCGAGACAACCAGAGCCACCAACAAGGAAGCCCTCTTGCTCCATCATGGCAACAGTTGTCTCAAGACATCCATTTCTATGCTGGGGAGTGGGATGAGCTTCACACGGTCCTGTCAGTGATACAGGAGGACGAGGTGGATGCATCGTCCGGCATAGGGCTAGGGTTCTGTGAAGACGATTTTTTGGATGGTTGCAGCAGCCAGGATGGGAACAATATCTGCCACGAAACCTTGTCAAGGCGATCAACAAAACTGTCAGGCAGCCATGCATGGGAGAGGGGAAACGAGGCCTGTGCAGGAGATGAGGGTTGATATGACATAGTGTTGGTGAATGAGATCCCTTACTCCGCAAGTTCTCTTCAAAACCTTTATTCACTCATCAAAAAGGTTAGTTACTAGATGTGTAATGCTACTCTCCGTGTCATTTTGTCAGGGAAGACTCTTTCTCGGCATGAGATGCCCAATAAAGGCAGTGAGTACTTTCCTGGGGGGCATTATGCAGATTCGCCATCTACCTCGAAACTGAACCTGCTTAACCTTACCTTCATTCACTCTGTTTTTCCTGCCCTTGCAGTGCCTGCGGCCACCCTATGGAGTGATATATCTCACGGCGAAAAAGAACTACATCGGCTCCAGCAGTGCGGTGCGGCAGCTCAGAGCATTGGTCGATGAGGAGGGCGCCTTTGGTGTGCACCTTGTTGCCGAGCCCCCCGAGAGGGAGATCTGGAAGTTCTTCTCTAAATAAACACAGCTCATCACGGCTCGAATAAAAAAAAACCCGACCAAGGCCGCTTGAGCCCTCAGGCCTGTATATAACTTAGACGAGTAGTCCGGCCAATGTCTGGCATTGTTTGCCATTTTTTGAATGTAGTGTTGATCATGTCAAACTAGAGACAAACTTTGACGTTAGGATGTTCTCTGCTAGGTGTCGAGGTTCAACTGGGTAAAGCCAACTTGATGAGCTTTTGAGTGCAGTTTTATTTGATCAGATAAGTTGATTCAGCTTAGTGGAGGCTCACAAACTATCTACCTAAGTGCTGAGGCCACTATGAGCTCCAAATAAAGGCACTCAACAAACTTTAGTTTACTTGAAGTCTTAAGCCCACACTGGCTGCATTGATCAGGATAAGAATATCCGGTACCGGATTGGAAGGAAAAAAATCCTCAGAGCCATCTGCACCATGTCACCATCCTATATGCAAGAAATTACATTGAGCCCTAGCTTTCTGCTTTAATTTTACCCCTTGCAGCCTATTCCTGGCCATAATCATTCCTTTTTGCTCGCCCCTTTTCGCGTGCTTGCCGAGCAATTCGCCGAGTTTTCAAGAAACAGCACGCATGCCTACGAAATGCTAGCCACCTCCTTTCCAGTCATAAAAAGCTCATCATGTGAGCTAATGAAGCACTTGGAAAAGGTGATGAACTACTTATATAGCAACTAACTAAGGTTGTGGAGGATGCTTCAGAGGCCTCATTCTGTGGGTGGCTCCTTGCTCCATGACAACTTTTAACTGTGCTATAAAATAGCTTGCAGTTCAGGCCCTCTACATGAGCCCTCCTCATGGTTGCAGAAGAAGAAGAGTAGGAGCACTTGAAGAAATGCTTAAGAGGAGACAGATGGAGAGATTGCCTGCGCTGCATCTGGCAGTGGTGTCTCTGCTCGGCTTCTGCTGCCTCATCCATGCTTCAAGGGCTGCCATTTCATTCTCAGCTGGTAATCATCTCATGCCATCTAGAGATTTTGTTATATTGTTCTGCCTGATTGAGAGGACGATTTTATTCCCATATGCACCAGCGGCCCCGAGGGAGCAGCTGCAGAAGACCGACGCAATCCCAGCTTCCAGTGGAGCAGATGGTCAGGTGATGATAGTATTCTAGCTATCTGTGTTCATGCAAGCAGCTACTGGCAGTTTCAGACCATACTATGTCAGGTGCAAACTGTATTTGACCTGAATTTTTTGGTATGATCACCCCAGGCTGTCGTAGCGGGAGAGGTAGACCGCGGTGCTGTCAGCAGGAGGATGGAGATGGAGATGCAGCTGGAGGACTACCCGGGGTCCGGCCCCAACGACCACCACTCGCCGTGGTGGCGGCAGGAGAGGAGGAATTGAGAACATGGAGCAAATTTGCATGTGTGTTCGTAGTGTTGCACAGTTGTGTATGTTTCTCAATCAAACTGTAATACTCTACTCCTGGTGTAACATACAAGATCGACGCTTGTTACTTGCAAGGGCATTAAGAGCATCATATATAAAAGCACTAGCCCCGAAAAGCGTCATCAAATTAGTTGTTGCTCATTTGTTTTATATTTATGAGCTTTTGTTGTTATATAGTCATATATCTTGGAATACTAATGTTATGGTAAGAAGAAGCCAGCCAAAAATCTCAACGGCTGATTTCGTTAAGTGTTGCTGGATCCAGAATTTATAGACTCAGTTGGGTTGCACTGGAATGGAACATAGATGGTTGCACCAGTATATTCAAAAATCAAAAGACTGCACTTGAGCTATAATTTCATCAAGAATTTTTTTTTTGAGAACAATTTCATCAAGATTTTGATAGCACACCACGGGAGAGATCGAGAGAGTTTAACACAATCCAAAATCTGGGGTGTAGTTTGAACATTTTCAAGAAGTCAAGTCATACTGAACTGTCCATAGAAAAAGTTACTTTGAGAGTTCGAGTGCCAAAAGTTGTTGTGACAAGTAAGAAACCATTAGTTGGCCACTTTCGGTGGATCTCTATGCAAGAGAAAATGGTAAGAAAGATGGTGCTGAAAACTGCATGAGCTGTACTCACTTGTTTTCTGTTTACTTGATCATGCAAGGTAAACATCAGCATCACACGTTTTTCTGCTAAGGATGGAAAAGTGCGAGAGCCCATATTAGGCATTTGCCTACTTTCCGCCGGCCTAGAGACGGTGTATGCAATATCATGCTATCTGTAACCATCTCAACAACCATAAAATCAATATTAAGCATAACCTTCTAGCCTATATGCTTGTTTGGAGGGGCCATAGGCTAAAAGTGTCCAATCTAGGCCCCCTATGTGAATTTTTTTGAGATAAATGCACCAGAAGCCACAAAACTCTCGCGAGATGAGTACTTTGGTCACTACAAATTCAGGGCAAAACGTAAGTTTTGACAAGAATTTGGATAGTGAGTAAGTACACACACAAGTCTAGAGATTCGCTAGAGTTATACCTGCTTTCCAGTGACTCATTGAAACAAAGAGTGCACATAAAAGATTGGGGAAAATTACGTTGAACTAGTGATTAATAAGCTACAAAAGAGGATTATTTACATCACAGGTTTATATTACAGGAAGATGCAACATAGATAAAAAATGAAACTATAGTACTAATATACTAATACTAAAGATCTAGCAAGCTGCCCATGCCTAGAGTTCATCATGATCGTCCTCTTCAGTGTTGCTATCATCCGGTGCAGCTCCAGACCTCTGGTACGGCGCCGAGATGACAGGGTTGCACAGGTCTTCAAGCTCCCGGAGCTTCTCACCGTAGTCCTCCTTCTCTGCCTCCGGGTTGTCGTCGAGCCACTCGTTCACCTCCCTCATTGCATCCTGGACCTTCTCCTTCTCGTCCCCTTCCATGGCGTCGGCCATCTTGCCGTCGACCGTGTTCTTGATGTCGTACACGTACGCCTCGAGCTTGTTCCTGGCGTCGACCCTCTCCTTGACCTTGCCATCCTCCTCCATGAACTCCTCTGCCTCGCGCACCATCCGGTCGATCTCCTCCTGGCTATGCCGGCCGCCCTCGTTGGTGATGGTGATCTTCTCCGACTTGCCGGTGCCCTTGTCCGCCGCCTTCACGTGCAGGATGCCGTTCACGTCCACCTCGAACGTCACCTCGATCTGCGGCGTGCCCCTCGGAGCTGGTGCGATTCCAGAGAGATCGAACTTGCCGAGGAGCCTGTTGTCCTTGGTCATGCTCCTCTCGCCCTCGTAGACCTTGATGGACACGGTGGTCTGCTTGTCCTGGAACGTCGTGAACACCTGCGTCTTCTTCGTCGGCACCACCGTGTTCCTCGGGATCAGCTTCGTCATCACACCGCCGACCGTCTCCAGGCCTAGTGTAAGCGGCGCGACATCGATCAGGATCATTTTCTTGGTGTTTTCGTCGACGTGTCCGCTCACGATGCTGGCCTGCACGGCGGCGCCGTACGCGACGGCCTCGTCGGGATTGACCCCCTTGTTGGGCTCCTTGCCGTTGAAGTATTCCTTGAGGAGCTGCTGCACCTTGGGAATCCTGGTGCTGCCGCCGACGAGCACGATCTCATCGATGTCAGCCTTGCTGAGCCCAGCGTCCGCCATGGCCTTCTTCACCGGCACCATCGTCTTCCGGAAAAGATCGTTGTTGAGCTCCTCGAACCGTGCCCTGGTGAGCGGCTCCGAGAAGTCGACGCCGTCGAAGAGCGATTCGATCTCGACGCGCACCTGGTGCTGGTTGCTGAGCGCGCGCTTGGCGCGCTCGCACTCCCGGCGCAGTTTCCCCAGCGCGCGCAGGTCGCCGCTGATGTCCCGGCCGTGCTTCCGCTTGATCAGTTTGATGAAGTAGTCCATCAGGCGCTGGTCGAAGTCCTCGCCGCCGAGGTGAGTGTCGCCGTTGGTGGCCAGGACCTCGAACACGCCATTGTCGATGGACAGCACGCTGACATCAAAGGTGCCGCCGCCAAGGTCGAACACCAGGACGTTCTTCTCGGGCCCCTTCTCGTCGATGCCGTAGGCGATCGCTGCCGCGGTGGGCTCGTTGACGATGCGGAGGACGTTGAGCCCGGCGATGACGCCGGCGTCCTTGGTGGCCTGGCGCTGCGCGTCGTTGAAGTAGGCCGGCACGGTGACCACGGCGTGCTTGACCTTCTCGCCGAGGTAGGCCTCGGCGGTCTCCTTCATCTTGGAGAGCACCATGGCGCTGACCTCCTCGGGGCTGAAGACGCGCACGTCGCCGTCCTTGACCCGCACCTGAATGTGCGGCTTGCCCTTGCGGTCGACGACCGAGTAGGGCAGCAGCTTGATGTCCCGCTGCACGACGGCGTTGGCGAAGTCCCGGCCGATGAGGCGCTTGGCGTCGTAGATGGTGCGCTCTGGGTTGGCGGCCGCCTGGTTCTTGGCGGCCTCGCCGATGAGCCGCTCGCCGCCGTCGGCGAAGGCGACCCAGGAGGGGGTGATCCGGTTGCCCTGGTCGTTGGCGATGATCTCGACGCGGCCGTTCCGGTAGACGCCGACGCACGAGTAGGTGGTGCCGAGGTCGATGCCGATCACGGTGCCCGCGTCGCCGCCCGTGGGCGCAGCGGAAGCGGCTGGCATCACGAGAAGCAATGCCGCGACGAGCGTAGCGAACATCCACATCGGCGCACGAGCCATCGATCTCGACTGACTCGTTTTGCTTGGTTTGATTTGATTTGATTGATCTGTTTTGCTTTGCCGTCGTTCGTATATATAGCGGCATAGCGTGCGTGCGTGCTTCATGGTGAATCGGAGGCGGTCTGCGACTCCGATCGTCGTGGGACGTCTGGACGCGTCCCTCCGGTGATCTCAGCCGTGCGTTTTGCTGATCTGACGGCTAAGAAGATGCCCTGACGTGTCGTATGCATGCTGACTGATCGCGGTAGGAACGTCCATGTGTTTCGGGCGTTGCTATTCCGCGCGCGCGCGTGCCAACGCTCGCTTTCCGACAGGCCAAGGATCTCCCGATTTGGAAGGTGTGGACCAGGTTACGTTTATGATCAGGGTAAGGGTTATGGTAATTAGGCTGGTTGTAACGGGGAGTATCATATACTAGTATCATGCATATGATACTAGTCTATGATACTACATCCTTAATGCATATACTATTATAAGTTGGTATCATAAAGGACTAAATTTATTGTCATGCATGACACAAAGTAGCACATCATTTAATATGATACGGTATCATGATATGATATTCAAGTTTCTCTTTCTTCATTTAATTTTATGCCACCTCATCAAACTTGCTTAGTTGGCATGCATGATACTACCTATGATACTCTCATTACGGGCAGCCTTAGTGTGGGCCCCCCTCGCCCCCCAAAATCAGGGGGCAGATTATATGGAGATTATTGGGTAGGCTTTGCATGTCTTAGCACTTCTTAGCGATATGTGGTGGGCCCCCGGCGTGATACCAGGAATTTGTCGCAGGACGCTTTGTTCGGATCGATTCAATCGCTCCAGCGAGCGATCGCGAAGGAGCTTTTCCGGTTTCCCATCGTTTATGGGCCTTTCAGGGCCCTTTGTTCTGGGTGGGCCGGAAGCTGGTGGGTCCATAGCTCTGTGGTAGAGCAAATGGACCCGAAGCTGGTTGTGGACATTTCACATCAAACTTGCCATATTTTTTTAAGCTAAAATGAATTCTTTTTTAGTTTGAAATTTTCAACTGAAAAAATCCAGAAATTTCCAAAAAAGATTCCATATTTTTAAAATAAAAAATCCCTACAAATCCAAAAGGCTGCCATGCTTTTTTAGAGAACTTGCTTTAAGAAAATTGACATGTGCAAATTATATTTTTTTTGCCATGTACCTTTGTTTAGAGGGGAAACTTTCTAAACTTGCCATGTGCAATTATATTATAGGTAGCATGGCATTTTTGTGTAGGAACCATGTAATTTTTTAGAAACCATGGCATTTGCAATGTATATACCATGGCATTTTTATTTGTGAGAGCATGGCATTTTTGTTATTAAGAGCATGACATTTAAAAAAAAATTACATGTCATTTTTTGAATAGCATGGCATTTTTTTAAAGTAGCATCACATTTTTTAATAGCATGCCATTTTTTAAAATAGCATGTCATTTTTGTTGTTAAGAGCATGGAATTTTTTAATTATCATGGCATTTTTTCAAATAACATGTCATTTTTTTTATTAAGAGCACGGCACTTTTTAAATAGCATGGAATTTTTTGTAGAGCATGTCGTTTTTATTATAAAGAGCTTGGCATTTTTTCTATAAAACATGTCATTTATTATTTTAAAGAGAACGTCATTTTATTTATAAAGAGCATGTAATTTTGGTAGAGCATGGAAATTTTAGTTAGTACGAACATGTCAATTTTTTTATCATAAATAGCGTGCTT